AAATTCAGGGGCAGAAATACTTTATTTTTATTTATTTATTTAGAGACAGACTCTCGCTCTGTTGCCCAGGCTAGAGTGAGTGCCGTGGCGTCAGCCTAGCTCACAGCAACCTCAGACTCCGGTGCTCAAGCGATCCTCCTGCCTCAGCCTCCCGAGTAGCTGTGACTACAGGCATGCACACCAGGCATGGCTAGTTTTTCTATATATATTAGTGTCCAATTAATTCTTTCTGTTTTTATATGTAGAGACGGGGGTCTCGCTCTTGCTCAGGCTGGTTTCCGAACCCGAACTGGAGCAATCTCGCCGCCTCGCTCCAGAGTGCTGGATTACAGGCGTGGAGCCACCGCGTATTTTTTGCTTCTGCTTCTCAGCCCGTGGCACTGACGCTGTCTCTCTGGGCTGGATGCGTCTCCTCTCCCTCGGCCACCTTTCTGTCCACGTCCTGGGGCAACCAGGTCGAGTCCCTGGCCATCGTTCCTTCCAACACTTTTTCTGCCCTTCTGCTCTGCTGGGCACTCTGATTTCTAGATCACTCGAATTGCCCTATAGCTCAATGATGCTTTAACATTTTTTTCCTTTTCTATCTGCATTTCAATCCAGAGAGTTTCTACAGCTACGTTACGCATCCACTACTAATCTCTTTCTTCTGCAATTCTAACATCGAATCCCATCCAGTGTATATTTTATCCTACACGTTCTAGTTTCATTTGTAGAAGGTCAGCTTGGGTCTTTTAGAGATATCTTCCACGTCTCTACTTAGCTTTCCGAACATGTGAAACACAGTTATAATAACTTTTGCCGCCCTTGCCTGCTCATTCCAACCTTGGTGTGGGTCCTGGGTCAGTTTCAGTGGATTGACTTTTCTCCTCATAGGGTCCCGTAACCCTGTCTTTGTGTGTCTGGTCATCTTTAACTGCATGCTGGGCATTGTGAATTTTAGCTTGTTGGGTGCTGGATGTTTCTGTATTGCTATAGATACTGAGCTTTGTTTTGTTATGCAGTTAAGGGGCTTGGAGGACTTGATCCCTTTACATTTTGCTTTTGAAATTTATTAGTCAGGACTGAGGCCTAGGGGCCGGTCATTCCCCGATTCTGAGGCAAGATCCTCAGATGTCTCTCAACCACCGGCTGCGAACAACCAGTCTGGTTGCTGGGAATAGCTGCCTGACACACAGCTGAAACTCGCGGGGGACCCTCTGCAGGGCTCCAGATTTTTCCATCTGTGTAACTGTCTCCTCTCTGGTCCTATATCTTGGGCACTCAAGCTGCCTCTGTCTCCCTGGACTCCCAGCAACTTCTCTTCCACTCAGGGAGTCTACCTGGGCTTCCCTAGAAACTCTTTTAAGGCAGTGAACTAGGCAATTGTAGGTCTCACGACATTTACTTCTCATGCCTCGGGGATCACTGTCCTTCGCAGCCTGATACGCAAAGTCTTGGGAACCGCCGTGTCATATATTTTGTCCATTTTTTGGTTGTTTCAATCAGGAAGATACCTCCAGTCCCCGTCACCCCGGCTTGGCCAGTGGAGGCGCGTGTCTTACACAGCTGCTTGGACATTGCCAGGGAGCATTCCGTCGTCACTCCTGGGTAGCCCTGCTGGCCACGGGATGCCCGGGGCTCACCCTTGGGTGCCCTGTGTGACTTTTCCACCTTGACGTTTGCATGGCATTCATTTTAGCGGAGTCGCATCCAAACGAAAGTGTGGGGGTGAAGAGAGCACAGGCCGACCCTGCCGGGGACTCCCTGCTCGTCTTCGCCCCGGGCCCGTCCTGGTGACGGTGTGTGGGGAGCAGGCTTGCTCTTCCCTCTGGGTCTCCAGAGGACCCTGCCCCGCACGGCTGGCTCTGAGGCTGCAGGGCCGGGACTAACATTGGCAGGCGCGATGCTCCGAGAGCCAGGCGCCTGGCCGCACGAGCCCACTGCAGACAGACGCTCTGGGACTCGGCGGGGGACTCGGTGGGTCGCACCTCGGCCCTGCCACCCGGCCCACCAGCCACCCCTCAGCCAGAGGCTCGGCCAGGGGTGACGTGTTGGAGCAACCAGGTGAAAAGCAGCAGGTGTCTGGCCCTGGGCACAGTGCGGCCAGGGTCCTTCCTCATCTCATGTGACAAACGTCCTACTAGTTTAATGTCGGCAGAAACCGGATGAGAGGGGCCTCAGACAGGAGCCTGCCGTCACTAAGAGCTGATAGGAAAAAAACACATTTCATTTCTAAGCAGACATTACTACGTGTCCAATTTATCAGACCAAACGGAGCTGACATAGGTGTGAGATGCCCATTTTCCCCTTTCACGTGAGAAATCTGTTTTATTTTTAGGAACAGGTTTTTTGTTTTTTTTTTCTTTTTAGGCCGTGTTTTCTTTTGCTTATTCCAAGGGCCTGAGGCAGTTCCCTCCTGTACAGGAGAAGCAAGCTGGCCCTGGGACCTGAACCCCTCTGCTCCAGCCAGTCCCAGTGTTGGTCGCAAGAAGAGCCAGAGGAAAGGGACCCCTCCGGCTCCTGTTGCCCTGACAACCCCGGCTGTCTCAGGCTCATGGGCACAAAGCCACCCATCGCTGCCCTGAGTCCCTGGGCTTTGGAAGGAGGCTCAGACACGCAGATTTCTCTGCGTGGGCAAAGCACATGGGAGCCCAGGTCTGACCGCGAGCATCAGTGCACGGGGCTGGCTGGCCCCAGTCAGCCTGTCACATGCCCTGCCCCAGAGACGGCCCGAGGGACTACAGAGCCTGCCACCTCCCCTCCCTGGGACTTCTGGCCCACCGGCTGCCTTCTCTCCAGACCAGAAGGCGCCCAGATGACGGGCAGTCTGCTGGGGACAGGGAGGAGTGCGGGAAGACCACACGGAGGTGGATTCTGGACCGAGCCGGCAACAGTTCCCGAGTGTCTGCTGGGGCAGCGGGCGCGGGTGTGCTGAGCTCTCGGCCCGGGGACCACTGGAGGGGGCTCAGAGGGGCTGCGGAGGCCGACAGAGCAGCCAGGACCAAGACCGTGGCATCTACAATCCACCAAGCAGGGAGAGGACCCTTCTCCTGCCAGAGCCTCTGATGGCCGCCCGCCCCCTCGCTCCCTCTGCCCCAGCCCTGGCCCCTCGAGTCCTGCGGACACGCCGGAGAGGGCCCCTTCGGAGCTCCGCGCTCCGGGACGCCCCGGCCTCACGCCTGCACACGGCTCCTGCGAACCTCTGCCCCAATGCCGCCCACCCCCGCTGCGCCGATCGCACCCCATGCCCAGGCCACCTGCCGGACAAGGCGGACTCCCCTCCCACGTGCGGGACCTTTGGCTCTCCTAACGGGAGGCGAGTTCTGTGAAGGCAGAGTCTCTCTCGCCTGCCTAGGACAGCGCCTGGCATGCGGTGGCGCTAGAAAAATGTCTGCCAAAGGGGCTGCCCTCGCGGCCCTCGGGACACGCGGAGCCACGGTTCCGTGCAGGGATTTAGGCCGCGCAGCCGCCGCTGCCGCCTCCGGGCCGGAGGCTGGGAGCTCTGCGGCTGCCACGTGGGCACGCGGGCAGTTCCGACGGCTCGCCGCCCCGTGGGCGGGTGCGCGGCACGCAAAGAAACAGAGTCCTGCAGGTGCGAGGAGACGGACTCCGCAGGTGGGCGCTAAAGAGGCGCGGGTCCCACACGGAGGGAGGAGGGCTTTGTCACCGGGGTGTCCCCAGGTCTGGGCTCCCCCTGACTGGCCGAGCCCCACCCTCGCAGCGTGGACGTCCCCATGGGTGGACCGGAGTGAGCAGGGCACACACAGGAGGCAGCGCCACGCACAGCACCCGCGTGTGCGCACACACGCACACGCACGGCACACGTGCCCACAGACACAGCCACAGGACGCGCAGGGACAGGCTCCGGGGACATGCTCTGAGGGGCTGCTGGCTCTCGTGCACATGGCCAGGTGGACACAGCGGTGCGAGGGAATGAGCGAAGTAGAGGTCACGGTGAGGCCAGAGGCAGAAGAGACGGGCAGACAAGCCCTGCACCCGGGGCGCCGGACGGCTCGTGTCCGGAGACAGGGGACGGAGGGCGGGGAGGGCTCAGCAGGCCCAGCCCCACCTGGAACTCACCCTCAGCCACTCTCCACCGCGCGGGGCAGCCGGTGCAACTAGAGCTGGGGCGCGGGAACACCACCGGGCAGCGGTCCGGGGCGCCGTTCCAGGCACCGGGGAAGGCGTGTCATAGAACTGGGTTTTTTAAGTCTTAGGAAATCTCAGGGATCTAATGCACCTTGCTGATTTCAAAGCGGAGGAGCGGGCTCAGCCCTGCAGGGCGCTGGCCGAGGTGGGTGGGAGTGGCCTCTGCCCGCTCCCAGGCCCAGGCAGAGCGGGCGGATGGGGGGCCGGGTGCCCCGCTGCCCCCTCAAGCCGCTGGCTCTTCCCGGAGGACAGCAGTCCTCACGGAGCCAATTCCGTGCCGGGGCAGAGGCCGGACCCTCTCTCTGGGCCGGTCGCACCAGGGCTCCCTGCCACGCCGAACCACCACGTCAGGAGAGGGTGAGGGGAAGAGATGGCATGGGAGGAAAGGGGAGGGAGGGCAGGAGAGAGACGGGGCCCCGGCAAAGCAAACCAGACGTGGCCACGGCAGTGGGTCTGCAAACACCGGCCAGTTAACCGCGGTAGACCAGCGTGGGCGTCTCCCCGCCGGCTGTTGCTCAAACACCAACCGCGTCCCAGTCTGGGGCTGCTCACCCCCACAGGGGACCCGCGCCGTGCAGGGACACACGGCAAGTCTGCAGCCAGGCGGGCGCCGGGGCCGGGCCGGCTGCCTCCCAGCCCAGCTCCTCCCGCTATCCCAGGCCCCACTGAGCCCCTGGCCCTGATGACAAGGCACAGGGCCCGGTGGAGGACGCCCACGTGCACGAGGCCCGTCTCCCTCGCTCACCTCTGCTCCCCCAGTAAGAGGGGGACACGGTTTTGGGGGGGTGGCGAAGCATCACGGGAAGCGGCTGCTGGTGCCGGTGCCCGGAAGGTGGCACCCACGCAGCCCCGCCCGCCCAGGACTCACTCACCATTCATCTGGGAGGGCGACAGCGAGTAGTCTCGGTCCGCGTGCCGCCGGTCCGGCTTCAGGTTGCGGCTCTGCCTGCCGGAGCCCTCCAGCATGTTCACGATCTCGCTCCGGTCGACGCTGCGCAGGGCCGCGTACAGGCTCTCCACTGTGGGGAGACGAGACGGCTTGAGATTCCAGGGCAGCCAGGGAGTGTCTGGCGGCTCTGAAGTCGGGGCTGGGAGGAGCAAGGGGGGAGGGAGATGGTCGATGCTTTTTTTGGAAGGTGGAGACACCTTTCATCAGAATCAAAACAAGCCGCCTCTTTGGAGAAGACTTTTATATCACAACACATCTCTTCCGGATGCTAACAGCGGCAACCTGAAAGCTAGACAGACGGGGGTGCTCTGTCGGCCCGAGAGGAACGCTACAGGCAGCGAAGGGTGGTGGCTAGCGGGCTCTGTCCTCGAGGAGCACTGAGCCCTGGCGGCTGCCTGGGCCTGCAAACGTAAGGGAGCCAACTCTGCGGAGGAGCAGCGGAAGGCAGAGTTCTCCCTGGGAGAACCGAGAACACGACCCGCTGGGACTCGGCCCTACGGCTGAGAAGTTCCACAGGAAGACTCCAAAGAGGAGAGTCATGCACCCTGTGTACACGTGTCGCCCGGTGTACAGGTGTCGCCCTGCGTACACGTGTCGTCCAGGGCTCTACCTTACTCTGAGGCTAGAAAGGCCTGGGCCACAGTTTTCTGGCGGTGTCTCCCGGCAGGGCTGGGAGGAAGACCTACTGACCGCGGGGCTGGGCGTGGGAGACAGGCAGGCACAAAGGGGCCGACGCCAAAGGCCACCGCATGGCCGGAGCGGAAGGGGCCCCTCGGTGGGAGCGGGCCCCAGCAAGGCCCCGGGAAGAGGAGGCTCCGGGCCCGATACTGACTCTTGGCGTCTTTGCCTTCGCGCAGGACCCAGAGGTTCAGCAGGGCTGCGCTCTGCTCCAGCAGGTTGTTGGGGTTCTCCACACGGATCCTGTTGACGTCCTCCACGCTGAACCGCAGCTCCCGAGCCAGCTCTGCAAGCAAGGCGGGTGTGAGCCGGCGCCGGCGCCGCCAGGCTCGGTGATTCTTCCCACCAAGGGACGCGGCATCTCCGCATCCCCGGAAACCGGGCAGGGGAGAGGGGAGCTCCGCCAGGGCCACTGACTGACCGACCGCGCGGACCGGTGCCCTCTGTCTTTCTCGACCTCACACAGGAGGCGACGGGAACAAGCATCTCCCCAAGGGCAGCAGCTCCCCCAAGGCCAGAGGCGCAGAGTCCTGGGCCAGGAGGGCGCGGCGCCTGCGGTCCCGGCCTAGCGCCACCCGCACTGCGCCAGGTCGCCACGCCCGTGCCCCCAGGTCAGGCACAGCAGAAACGCATTTCTGTATTTAGGTTGTTTCTTCGAGGAGAGGCACTATTTACATAGACAATGGAAACAGAGGTTCCGTCTAGGTGCAAGGCAGGGCCGCAGAGCTTCAGCGTCTGCCTGTCACCTCACTGTTATTTCTCACAGGCGCTTGAGGAGGGAGGACGGCGCTGGAGTCTGACTTCCAGGATGAGGAAGACTGGGCAGAAAGTGACAGTGAGAGCAAAGATGCGTGTACAACACACATGTGCACATGCACACACACATAAGCACACCTGAATATGCACGGCACACATACACACGCACCTGCACACGCACGCACCCCTGCATATGCACGCACCCCTGCATACACATGCTCCTGTACACACACACACACCTGCACACACATACATACGGTCCTGCACACACACACCCCTGCATACACATACACATGCTCCTGCACACACACACCCCTGCTTACACATACACATGCTCCTGCACACACACACACCCCTGCACACACATACATACAGTCCTGCACACACACACCCCTGCATACACATACACATGCTCCTGCACACACACACCCCTGCATACATACACCTGCTCCTGCACACACACACATGCTCCTGCACACACCCCTATACACACATACGCATGTTCCTGCACACACATACTCACCCCTGCATACACATACACATGTTCCTGCACACACACACACCCCTGCACACACATACACATGCTCCTGCACACACACCCCTGCATACACATACACAATGGTTGCCCTGCACACAACAACACCGCCTGCATACACATACACATGCTCCTGCACACACACACCCCTGCACACACATCACACAGTGCTCCTGCACACACAACACACCCCTTGCATACACATACACCATGCTCCTGCACACACACACACCCCTCGGCACGGACGACATACCACACTGCTCCTGCACACCACACACACGCACCCGCATACACATACCACAATGCTCCTGCAACACACACACACCCATGCACCGGGGCAGCGACAGCACCCCTGCATAACAACCGAAATACACATGTTCCTGCACACACATACCCCTGCATACACATACACATGTTCCTGCACACATATACACACCCTGCATACACATACACATGCTCCTGCACACAGACACACCACTAAATATGTACACTTGCATACACACACACTTGTATACGTACACACACTTGTATACACACACATTTGCACACACACCTGCACACACACACAACCTGGACACACACACACACACCTGTATACACACACATACACACAACCTGGACACATACACACAGCTGCACACACACACATAACACACACTGGAAACACATACACACACACCTGTATACACACACATACACACAACCTGGACACATACACACACCTGCACACACACACATACACACAACCTGCACACATCCACACACACACACATCCACACCACCCCAGCAGCAGCAGCAGCAGGCATGGCTTAAAGAGTCACCGTCCCTGAACGTCTGAGCTCTTGTCACGCTGCCTCTCAGGAAGTCACTCTGGTGTCCGAGTGTGCGGACCGCGCTCTGGGCCATTCACAGGAAAGCTCATGAAAGGGAGGGACAGAGGAGAGGTGGCGGGGCTGTGGCTGAGGGAAGCACATTTTGAGCTTCCACTTCGAGTGCCGCCCGCTGCACTTCAATAGCCCCAGCCCTGCAGGCAGCGGGGCGTCGGGGCTCCAGCTGCAGCAGAGACCTGCAGAGGAGACAGGCTGAGATGCCCTCTCCTTCCCTGCTCTCCCCCAGGAAGCCAGCTCCGAGCAGAGCAGAGCAGGGCGCAGGGAGCAGCGCCAAGCGGCCGGGAGACACTGTTGGCTCGTACGTTTGCCTCATCTACTCGTTTGTTTTTCTAGGCTCTGTCACTAACCCGCTGCACAGCCAAGTCACTCTGTTTGGCTGGATCTCAGTTTTCACATCTGTAAAATGGGGTGCACTGGACAAATTCTAAGGCCTCCTACACTGTTAAAAGTTGGTTCTTGGGAAGGAAACCGGACAGAGTGGAGGAGGGAGGGAGCCCCTTGCCCTGGCCCCGGATGGACGGCGCAGCCCAGAGGACGGGACCGTCTGACATGCACCAGTGGGCGTGCACAGACGTGGGGCACGGAGGGCGGGAAGCTGCCCCAGCTGCCGGCGAGGGAGGTGGGGCAGCAAGACAGCGCGACTCCGCCCCAGCCGCCTGCTCACCTGCCCAGCTGAGGCCCAGGTGCTCCGAGATGAGGGCCATCTTCACATCCGCGCGGTCTGTCCCGCTGAGGACGCCTGGGGGGAAGCAGGAGAAGTCCCTCAGCAGCCGGGCACGGAGCCGACTGGCCTGGGGAGGCGGGTGGACACCGGGGGCCGCTGTGGACACCGGCTGGCGGCGCTCTGCCAGGCCAGGGCACGCATGCAGGACCCCTGCCCCCAGCAGACGGCCCCGCAGCACCGCCCCCGCCCGGGAGGGGTGAGGGCGCATCCCGCGGAGAGGCTGTACCCAGTGCGGACTCGCTGAGCGCGCTGTGTCTCAGGGCCAGGGGCGTCAGGGTCCTCCTCCTGTCCTCAGCGCCGCTGCCCTGCGGGACACAGATGGAGAAGGGTGCTCTGGGCTTGGGCTAGCAGAGCGGGCGCGGGGGGTGGCCCCGTGGGGCGGGCCACATCTTTCCGCCGCGCGGGTTGGCACCCGGGGGGCAGGCGAGCGGGAGGAGGTGCGAGAGGAAGGGCAGGTGCTTGGCTCTCCACACCGTCACCATGGGGGCGATGGCGAGCTGGCAGCACCCTGCTCCCGGGCGAGGGCTTGTTTAACGTCACAACCCACGAGGTAGGTGCTGTCGTTACTCCGGTTTCATCAGTGAGGAAACCGAGGCGAGGGGAGGTCAAGGGACTGGCCCGAAGTCACCCAGCGAGCGAGAGGTGGAACTGTGGTTTGAGCTTAAAACCAAGTTTCTTGTTAGATCCCCTCCTGCCCCAAAGGCCTGTTTCTGGCACCAGCCTAAGGCGTCAGGCCACGGCCCTGTGCGAATGTGCCCGGACACCTGCCCGAGGCTGCAGGAAGCCCTCTTCCGGAAGAGAAGCCGGTCCCCCCTCAACCCCAAAGAAACCGAGCCACAGACGTGTAGACGTGACCCGGCTTCCCTTCCAGTTTAGCACGGAAGACTGACGATCAAAAAAAAAAAAAACAACAGCAACGAGAGCAAAATAATTCTCACGAAAACCATGGGGCGCTCTGGGGACACGTGCCACCCCCGGCCCCTAGCGCAGGTGGTGACCGACACAGTCCCAGGCAGCGACAGAAGAGCTAAGCGAAATGCCTGGGGTCTGCCGCGGCTGAGGATGCCGGCCGGCGCTGGGGAAGAGCGCGAGTGGGCGGAGGCCTGCTCCACGCACTGGGGCCCCAGCAGCGCCAGGCACCGCACGAAGCCCGGGAAAGGGCGTTGCGGGGACGCCCCTGCGGGCCTCCCGCCCGGGGCACCTAGGGCGCCGGAGGCCTGCAGCGTGGGCGTGCCCGCCACCATCCGACACCGACATTCGCCCCGCGTGCCCTGTGACCAGAGCTGCGGCGAGCTTCGCGGAGGGCCAGGGTGCGCCCGCCCCGCCGGCCACGGCACGGACCCCCTCGCCTGCCTCGGCAGCCCAAAGGCAGCGTTTCCACAGCAAGAAGCCGCCCGGCGGTGCTGGGCCCTGGGTCCGTGCGGGAGCCTCCTCCAGGCGGCTCGTCCTGCGTGGGTCGAGGCAGGGGCAGCTCACCTTGGTGCAGGGCGGCATGGTGATGTTCAGGTGGCAGAGGATGTGCTGGGTGTCCTCGTACTTCATCGCCTTGCGCAGAAAGGACAGGGACCCTCCTGGCTCGCGGCTGCTGTCCCTCACCTGAAGGCAATCACAGAACGGGGACTCAGCTCCTCCCCTGTGCTGGCTGCGTTAGAGACGCCTCCTCTCGGGCTCTCGGGAGCCGGGGCAGAGGTCCCGCAAGCAGCACCTTCACGGGGATGGCCAGACGGTTCTCCCGAAACGACTGGAAGAGGAAGCTCCGCTGCTGGGCGGCTTTTTTCACAGGCACCAGGTTTCCAGAGAGTTCTGCAAAGAGGGGCATTCCTTCCAAGACCTGCAGGAGAGGAAAGCCAGACACGGCTGGTCACGCGGAGACGCCCAGACACCCTGCCTGCGAGCGCCGGCCTGGCCCTGCCCCAGGCACAGCCCTGCCACTGCACCAGGCCCTGGCATGTGCTGAGCGAGCCCCCGCGTGCTGCGCAGAAAGCAGTTTCCAAGGCGGCGGTGAGCGCCGGCGTCCCCGCCATGCGGGGTTCCGTGGCAGGCAGGGATCTGCACACGTCCCTGTGAGGCCGGTCGGGATTGCTAGCGAGAACTGCAGAAGGCCACTAGGGTACCGTGATACGGCTTCTGGAAAAACCCTGGGCCCGTTTTTATATGTGTCCAAAGATGGTTCGTGCGTGAGAAGCGCTGGAAAACTTGAGAGCCACACTTTTGTCTCTTAACAGTGATCCCCACTGTGTGGGGGATCTCTTAACAGTGATGCCCCACAGAGACGGCATCATTAACCCATTGGACAGGCGAGGAGACTGAGTCCAGGGCAAATATCTGCTTTGCCTGGTGCCCGGAAGGGCAGAATCGGGGCTCCAGAGTGCCCACCACGTGCCCATTCCCTTGGGCCTGCAGCCCTGCCCAGGAAAACGGCTCAGACTCTGTGGCCAGGCTCTCTGCTGGCTCCCGCGGGGCAGGCTCTGGTGGCATCAGCAGTCGGTTTGAATCTTCACTCCTCCCCTACCTCCCGGATGGGGGCTCCCGAAACCCGGGCTCTGGGGTCAGGCGACCCAGACAGACCCTGCCTGCACCCCTCACTTGGCTGTGTGACCCTGGGTGAGTTCCTTAACCTCTCCCACCCTCGGTTTCCTGGCACATAACTCAGGAGTGAAAACGGACACGGTGTTGGGAATTAGATGAGACTATGCAAGAAGAGGCGCGTCCAATAGTACGTAGTGCGTGGGGACTGCCACAGGTGCCAAGCCCGCCACAGACCCCGGAGCGAGTCTGCCGCCTCCCCTGAGACGTGCACAGCGAGGCCCCTCACCTCGGCGCAGCGTCCCGAAGGTGCTTCTCGAGGGGACGGGGGACACGGGCTGCCAGCGCAGGCGCCCTGCTCTGCAGAGGGACGCGCTCCCACGGAGCGGCCAGCGTCCGAGAAGGCAGCCGTGAGCTGGGAAGGCCCGCGGGAGCCGGGGGCGGAGGGACCGGCGCCCGCCGTACCTCTATGTCCCTGCTCCGGGCCACCTCCACGAAGTTCTCGTGCTGCTCCAGGGTCTTGTCCACTTTATCATCCGTCATGCAGTAGCAGCGCAGGCGCCCTTCTCGGGGGTCGTTCATCTTGGCAAAAATGACAAACTTGGCCATGTAGGGCACGGCCGTGAGCTCCTCGTACAGCAGGGTGGCGAAGTTCACAGCCTCGGCGGTCCGGGGGCAGTCCGACAGCCAGAACCTGCCAATGCCCAGTGGGGAAGATATAACGGGAACCACCAAGCTGGTGTACGCCAACGAGTGCGCCAACTTCACCACCAACGTCTCCGCCAGGTGAGGCCAGCCCCGCCCCCACCCAGCTCCCCTCCACGCAGGGGCCCCCCGGCCCCCCGTCCTGGGAGAGTAGCCAGGGCGTGGCAGGGTAGCCAGGGCGTGGCAGAGTAGCCGGGGCGTGGCAGAGTAACCCCCGGGGGTGCGCAGGGACAGGCCGGGCGTGGCAGGGCGCGCCGGGCGGCACGGCGGGCGGCAGGCGCTGGCAGGCCGGGCGCGCCGGGGGCGTGGCATGGCGGGCCGGGGCCGTGCAGGGTAGCCGGGGCGTGGTAGGGTAACCGGGGCGTGGCAGGGTGCGCCGGGGCGTGGCATGGCCGGGGCGTGGCCGGTGAGGCCG